CTCTAAAATAATTTCTGCAATTAAATCAACCATTAAAAGAACTTGAAAATCCTTCCAAATGTCATTTATGATTTGCCACGCTGCTGCTATTCTCTTTATTTTCTAACCCATTTTGTGAAACAAAAAATCCTTAAGAATACCACAGTATTACAGATTAACATAACAACAAGTATAAAAATTGCAGTAACAGCTCACTTGAGATTTTTATTACATTTATGTCTACATAAAATTGAAAAAAATCCTACATAAATGAGAAAGCAGCTGAAGGGCAAAATCAAACTGTTGCCTTTATTAGAAGCAAGTCTAATGTCTTTCAGATAAAATATTTGTAGGTGCCAGTCAATCAAGATTTCACTGGAAAGCAAAGATGAGAGCATTCATGCACAAAAGGTATGTATGATAATTGTGATGTGCAGACAAGATAATGGAAAATATACTAACCTTCCTTTAATTTTAATGTATCAACTGCTGCCTTGACTTAGACAACCTGCCACATTTAATGTAATATTTTATTATTTTAATTATTATAGGAGCATTCAGTTGATTCAGTAAGCATTAGTCAGCAGTTAGCCTTCCTGCATAAACTACTTTTCTTCAGATGTTGCAGTCCTATAGAAATATGACTGAAAAAAATTAATAAACATTAAGTATTGACTTGTTTATGTTATGTTGCATTAATATTTAACATTAAGTAAATTATAGCCATGTCGCTAACTTTTCATATTCACCTTATTAACATACCCTTCTGTATCCCTACCCTAAATTTACCCTACTGTGAAATTCAAACTGTATTTCAGCAGGCAGCTGTTGCAAAGTAAAAGATCAGAGAAGTCTTAACCTCTATAAGTATAATCAGAAATGGAAGTTTACAAATAAGTGAAAGTATGTTAAAATGAGCATAAAGTTCATCATCTGTATGTTTAGAACTTCTTAGAACTTTCTTAGAAGAATATTCTTAGAAGAACTGCATCTTCCATACTGTAAGCTACTAGCTGGACCAAAAATACCATGAAAACACCCTATTCACCGAAAAGCAAGGTAGAAGTCAAACACTGAAAATTTAGGAAATTTCAAAGATGGTGTTTGTCTGTAAAACTAATTTGCATACCTTACATTGCTTTTACAGTAAAAATCTCAACATGAGCATGTAATTTTCCAACAGAAACAAATCCAGTTTCACCCACTGAATATAATAAATAACATCTGAAATTTTATCTTCACTGTTCAATATCCGATCCTATCTTTTAATTGCTACTCACTGTTCAAAACCTGGTTCTGAAATAAAAATAATTAAGTTTTGATCATACTTATCATGATTCATCAAGGAAAGTAGACTTCTATTCATCACACACCTTTATAACTTGTAGCACTAATTATAAGCAGTAGTACACAACTTCCATGCAGGTGTGCACTGAAAAAGGCTGATTTGGCATGCTTGGGCAGCTTCACTAAATAAAGCTAAGGATGACTAATAATCAAGGAACTGCGTTCCTGTTCCCAGCTGTGAAAGAAGGTGTATGTGTATTCCAATGCCAATGCTCCTTAGGCCTGACCCCTGCCTGTCTTGCATTACTGTAGTAGTTCTAGCCGTAAGAACTGTTGCACTGGGTGAGCCTGAAGTCCTATTTAGCCTACTACCCAACTCTAACGAAGACATTCTGAGATTAAGACACTGCTTCCCCCCACCATATATCCTATCAGCTTGTGACAAACAGAAGCTTTGGAAATTTCCATTGCTCCCCCACGCTTTGTCCTGTTCCTCTTAAGTATTGAGACACTATTAGAAGCAATAAGAGGTCTGAGCACTCTCACCATACAGTCTGCTAATATTATAGAAGTTTACAATATGCAACATAAATTCCCATGAAAATACGTGTGTTTTTTTTTTGTTTTGTTTTTTTTCCACAGAATCACAGAATTTCTAGGTTGGAAGAGACCTCAAGATCATCAAGTCCAACCCCTAACCTAACACTAACAGTCCCCACTAAACCATATCCCTAAGCTCTACATCTAAACGTCTTTTAAAGACTTCCAGGGATGGAGACTCCACCACCTCCCTGGGCAGCCTGTTCCAATGTCTAACAACCCTTTCGGTAAAGAAGTTCTTCCTAACATCTAACCTAAAACTCCCCTGGCACAACTTAAGCCCATTTCCTCTCGTCCTGTCACCAGGCACGTGGGAGAACAGACCAACCCCCACCTCACTACAGCCTCCTTTAAGGTATCTGTAGAGAGCAATAAGGTCGCCCCGAGCCTCCTTTTCTCCAGGTTTTTTTTTGGTTTGGTTGGTTTTGTATTTAAAAAACATTTAGCAAAGCATGCCTATCAAAAATAACTTACCTCTACAGATTTGGAAAGTAAGTCTAATATCCATGGAAAAACAGGTTATGTCAAAGAAAAATCTGAGATCGTTTTTTGTTTTTTTTTAAAGCCTGTACCAAACAGTGCCGTCCTTCACTTTCAGTTAATTCTTAGAAAGAAGTAAACACGTGTTGCTGAAATTGCCTATTCTCCTTCTCTCCTCCCCCACTCTTTATTAAAAAAAAAAAAAAAAAAGGAATTAAAAAAAAAGAATAAAAAAGGTTTGGATAGAGTCATTATAAAACATTTAAATATGAGTAGCTCATTTTAAAATGCTGCACAGCTATAACAGTCAATATGAAATTCTGTAATAAACATTAGAGCAGCCAAAACATATCAAATGCAGATACTGAGATCATCTTCCCAGAAAATGTCAGAAGTAGACGTAGAGAATAGTTAAAATACAGCATCAAATCTTTGCTTCCCCTTTGTAATCTGCCAAGGTGTGTGTCAAAGAATTCCAAAGCCAGAATCAGCTCCTACATATCCTCTAGCAGATTTCTTTGCCAGCATAGTTCAGTCTCCCCCTGAATCCACGTAAATTTTTATTATTATTATTGGATTTTAATCTTCTGAGAACCTTCAGAGTCTGCATATGTACTGGAAGATCCAATGAACACTCACCATTTAGTCACCTTTTCCATGCCAATCACCACAGGTCTTTATCATACCTGTTTCCATTTTATTCTTCTCCAGAATAAAAACTTATAAATAACGTTAACAGTCTTAATTATTAAAACTTAATATAAAGTTTTCACCACTGTCCCTCCGCTGTCTCTCTCTGAACCTTCTCCATATCTCTATCCTTTTACTCCCAGCTCATTTCCTATAAATCTTACAAATATCTATTAACCTATCTTAGCATAAGTCCATGTCACTTGCCCTGTCTATCTCATGCATCAATTTGCTTATCAGTGAAAATAACAGCCTCAAGGTATGCATAAGAAGAGTTCTGTGCTTTTAAAGTCATAGAGAAGGATGGAGAAAGTAGAAAAGTGGCAATTTTCTCAACTAAAAAAAAAAAAAAGGGAAAATTTAGGAACAGTATAAGTAATTATCCAGATTGAAATCTATCTTTTTGATGTGTTTGTCTTTTTTGTTTTTTATTTTATGAGTGTGAGCTCACATCTTCACTTTCACATCTCAGTAACACATTCATATCATATTAGTGATCGCAGTGACTAGTTTAAACATCAAGCATATATATGCACATAAACAGATACAAAAAGAAAATTAGAAACATTTCCAGATGATGGCCCTGTGCCCTGGTTTCAGCTGAGGCAGAGGTAATTTGCTTCATGGTGGCCAGTAATCGTGCTGTGTTTTATGAGAAAAATAATGCTGATTAACACATTGATGTTTTAGTTGCTGCAGAGCAGTGCTTGCACTAAGTCAAGGACTCCTCAGCTTCTTGCACTGCCCTGCTAGGGGTGCACAAGAAGCAGGGAGGGGACAGAACCAGGACAACTAACCCAAAGTGGCCAGAGGGACAGTCTGTACCATGTCATACCACCCTGAACAGTAACACCGGGGGGTTGGCTGGGAGGGGCTGCTTGGAGACTGGCTGAGCATTGATCAGCAGGTGGTCAGCAATTGCACTGTGCATCACTTGTTTTATATATATACAACAGTTTATTTATTTTTATTATTTTTCATTCTTTTTCGGTCCTCTTAAATTGTCTTTACCTCAGCCCACAAGTTTTTACCTTCTTCTGATTCTCTCCCCCTTTCCACTTGCTGGGAGTGATTAAACAGCTGTGTGCCCAGTTAAACCCCAGCAGTCAATATCCAGTTACCAGCTTTCAATGGTATTCCTTACATAATATCATTGATAGCAGGCTGTAAAACATGAGCTGTCTGACCAAGAAATATGCCTAATTATTTCTGCATTTATAGATAGGCACTCTAAATCTAGAAACAAAAGGAGAGCTGTAGCTTTATTTAGCTTATGTGCAAGAAGAATTTTCACTTAAATTAGCCTCATCCTTAGATCTCATCCCCACAATAGTATCTTCTGCTCCTTCTCAAAAGATGCTCCTCACACCTCTGGAGGGCAAAAGCCAGTAAGTGCTTTGGCTAAAGTACCTTATTATGCCTGTTCACTGGCTGCTACCAAATAAGATTTAGAGTTGGTACATTTTGTCTGACTCCTCTTTCCCAGAGGTACTAACTAGGTTTCCGTCCTCTACCCTGTCATTAACTTCCATGAACCTTCTGGACACTCAACTATCTTCGACATTTCTTTGAATCAAATTTGGCTAAGATCAGCTACAAATTCAAAAGTTCTTTATGAAAAGCTATGACAAGGGAAAGAAAGCAAGGGCACAGAAGGAGGCAAAGATACTGGCAATGAAAATCTAATGAATAAAAAGGGCAAAATACCAAGTCTCATTTTCATAAACTTAACCAACCTAAAAATGTCAGTACAAAATAAAATACTAAGAAAAAGGCTTTGTTTCTTTAAAATTCCTCAGAGTACTAAAAAGTGTTCCTGGTTTGTAAACTTACTACTGACAGATAAAAGTCACACAATATTTAGAAGTAATAAAACACTGCAAGTTAGTAGAGAAAAATGTTTGTCATTTTGCTGGAGGTTTGTCCTTCAAATATCCTACATACAGAAATACTGAAAATATTACCTTGAGCTAGTCTTTCAAGTCGCTTCCCATGTTCTGGAGGAATAGCATACCTAAAATTCAGATGAAGAAAATGTTTAAAGACATGATTACTAAACTAAAAATTATTTCACATACAGTAAGTACCCCCAAAACATAGAAAACAAGAAGATTAAAAATGAAAAATTATGTAGGAAAAATATACTATTTTCTAAGAAAAAAAATAAAGATTAAGTTACCCTAGAGAAAATATTTTAGCATATTTATAGCTTTAATATCATAATACAGTTCATATTTAATACGAACTGTATATTGAACTGCATATTGTATATTGAATTGTAGTTCAATAATTCAGTTCAGAAATTTTATATTCATTATTTAAAATCATGTATATTGACAATGTTTCATGATTGTAACAGGCCAGTTAAAAAGATACATTTTCTAAATGAAACAAAACCACGTAACAGAATAAACCTAATTCATACAGGTTTAATCTCTGATTTTTACTGTGCTTCACAAGACACAAGAGTTCAACAGAAAAAATATGAGCATTAGACATCACAATTTTGTCTTACTGCCAATGGTAAGGAGTAAGAGGTTACTTGTCTTTGTAAAACATTACAATTAAATTTTTTTTTTAATTCTAACAAATATATGCTCTTTAAATTCAGAAATTGTACAGATTGGAAACACTCTGTTCTAACAATAAACTATTTTTAGAAGATTCCATAAGCTATTTGCAACAAATGAGTAAGAACATAAAACAAGAAGAATCTGAGCAAACACAAATGCTTTACACATTTCACACATTTACTGCACTTAATAGATATACTACACATATATCTGTGCATTACGCTTTATTTCTGACTTTAACAGCTTTCATTCCAGTTTAATGTTGCAACAACTTCAGATTGATTCTTCCTTGTAAAAAAAATACGGTTCAGAAAAGGAGAAAATGCATATTTAGCATAGTCCAAACCTGCATTTTCAAAGTGAACATGCAGCTTTTTTCTTTTACTATATTGTGAACACCTATTTCATTGATCTTCCCTGTCAACTAAGAAGAAACAAGTGACTCACTTTGCACAACAACCCCATATCTTAAGCTCTCCTTTTCACCTCCACACACACACTATTTTACACTATCTCAACTTAAACTGCTGCACAGAAGCAAGACTTTTCCAAAGTCAGTGCTTTAAATAGAACAAGTGTAACAAAGCCCATGCCTACTGACAACCCACTCCAAATGCTATTAAAGAAACTTTCAACTTGACTCTGCTCACTGCTTGCAGTTTTAATCAGAATTTCCTTGTCTTCACAGAATTGATTGTTTACCTCCATTTATACTTCCAACCTATTTATGTCTGTTCTCCACTGCTTAAAACACATGCACCAGTGTATACATAATAATCTAAAAGTGCGTTTGTATCTTTCACACACCAGTGGAGACAAATAGCTATGTATAGCATTACATATTCTATTGTATGTCATTAAATACACAACTAAAACCAGAACAGATAGTGTTTATGTCTTAAAAATAAATAAATAAATAAATACAGAGACTTTTCTTTACTTCTTATGTCTCTAATTGGACTGTAATTATTCTTGTATATTGTTCTTCCAAAAGTACGATTTACTGAATTTTTGTGGTAATAGAGAGCTACATGTTTGTTTGTACCTGTAGATTTAAGTACTCATGAATAGTCTAAAAAGACAAAGCTTGACAACTGAGGTCTCAACAAGGCACTTGAAATGATAAAACAGGGCATTTGACTTAACTGGACTACACCTATTTGTTTAATGAATCTAAAATTATCAATCAATAATTCATTAAGAAGGCAACCATGGACATACTAGAATGAGTCCAGAGAGCCAGAAGAATGACCAAGGGGCTGGAGCACCTCTCCTATGAAGACAGACTGAGGGAGTTGGGGGTGTTCAGCCTGGAGAAGAGAAGGCTCCAGGGAAAGCGGCTTTCCAGTACCTACAGGTAAGGTGGGGAGTGACTCTTGATCAAAAGCTGTAGCAATAGGACTAAGAGGAGTTGTTTAAAACTAGGAGAAGGTAAACTTAGATAAGATATTCAGAAGAAATTCTTTACTCTGAGGGTGGTGAGGCACTGGCACAGGCTGCCCAGAGAAGGTGTGGATGCCCTGTCCCTGGAGGTGTTCAAGGCCAGGCTGGATGGGGCTTTGGGCAACCTGGTCTGGTGGGAGGTGTCCCTGCCCATGGCAGGGGGTTGGAATTGGGTGATCCTTAAGGTCCCTTCCAACCCAAATAATTCTGTGATTCAACACAAGCTACTGTTTTTTAACACTGTCTTTTTTGGGGTAACATGGTAGCATCTACTCCTTGATCCTTCATTTCTTCCCACTGTTGCTACTTTCCCTCTTCTCACAGTTAGAGGATGAGGAAAAGGAGATTGCCTTCATAGTATCATTGGAAGCCTCAGTTTCACTCTCCAGGCATGCTCGAGTAATGACTTTCCTTGGTTCCAAATACTATTTATTAGAAAACTGAGACTTATTAAACATATGAACCTGCCTTGGATATCAGTCAAAGTATGGTGACATAAATCTAACTGGATGCTTCATCTGCTGCACAGAACATTGAACAAAATACTCCCAAGCTCTGTCTCAGATCATTGTCAGTGAAAAAAACATCCCTCTCAGCATCCTTAGCCAGGTCATGTAACACCTTCAACACACTCTCTCATATTGCAGAACACTCCATCACTTTCAACACAGGTAAGAACCACTGTCAAGCTGAACTGAAACACGTTCTACAGCATCTCACCGGGTTAAGTGTTACAGACTTACACTGCAGCTTCAAATCAGCTCTTAATAATGGCATTTCACTTTTCCAGCATACCCTCCTCTCTCCAAAGATCACTGAGTACTAGGGGAAAGAAATACACGTGGAGAAGAAGAGGCTGAAAAAGTATAGAAACTCTCACAGAAAACACCGCGCACTCTTTCCGTTACTGATCTCTTCTCTACACCTGCAGCGTTAAAAGCTTTCAGAAAAATATTTTCCCTCCTCTTGTGCCCAGCCTCTACTTAGCTACATTTCCAAACAGCCACTAATGTTTGTCTGACTCCTCATATATTAAGGTCAAGTCCTGTCCTCTTCAGAAGTACATGTAATGGATTTTAAATGCTTTATCACTATGAGGCAAAGAGAAACTTTTTGGATACAAAGAAGCAGATAAATGGAAAGAAATAATGTTATTTCTGTTAGTGCTAACTAAACTTTAATCTTATTAGCTCAGGAGGACATATTTGTTAAAAATTTTGAAGAGACAGATTAAAGTTGAGGAGTCACTGTTTGTTGCTTGTTCAGAAGAGATCTCAAATACATACTAATTCATCAATTAAAGGGTATTGCCAACAAGATAACTAACAATTATTAAATCTAAGTCAACAATTTGTGTTTCTGAAACATATACGCAGGACACGGATATAATTTCTATTATGTTTTCAAGACTAAATGCTTATACAAAATTTCTTAGTGTACTTTAAAGCTAGTAACTTCATTTTTTTTCTTTTTCTTTTTTTTTTTTTTAATAAAAACTCAATCTTATATGAACAGTGGCAATGTAAGCTCCCTGTCCTATAAACCTCAGATCCCCAGGGTAGACAATAACAGGCAATAGCCTAGTACCCATGATCACTCAGTCCTATCTTTAACTTGGGAAATACGGTTGTTAAGATAGTTGACTGTGATATGAACAAACAACATTCTGCAAGCAGGGCTGAAAATAGCAATGCACAGTAATAACTTCGGTTAATATTTGCTTTATACTCAGATGCAAAATGTAAAAAACCTTTAAGGAACTGTTTCCTTCATATCTTCTGTTAGATGAGAGTGAATTTATTTTTTCTCTCCCTGTAGTAATGGAGAGCTACTTCATTACAGTAAAACACAACAGTTTCACCCTGCATGTCAAAGAAAAAGAAAATCAGTGCAGGAAAAAAATACGGATTTTACTCAAGTTCAGTTTTATTAACAATGTGTGGATGTTGCACAGAGACACATCCATATAATGATGTAAAAAAAAGAAGTGCTTCCTTTTCTTTAATTTTCTTCTACGTCAGAAATGAAATCTTTAGCATAACTCACTTGGAAGATAAGAATGACAAGCGTGTGGATCACTTGTGAAATGGATTAACTCAAAGGAAAACACAGATGAAAATTACATACTTCAGAAGAAATAACTAATAGACATTTCAGAAAACACAAGACAAACTAGTATCTCCACAGCATTATTCACTTTTTCAAATTTCCATTTGACAGACTGTAGCAAAAACATCAGACAACAGAAAATAATTATACTACATAACAAGCACTTATTGAAAACTCAAACTCATTTAAACGAATGGACTACAAATATTTTTAAATAATGCTAGAGCATGATTTACTGTACATTATATACTGTGCATTACCTATCAATAATTTCATAGTTTTTTTTTCCATTACTTTCATGTTCTTTTTGCTCTCCTGGTCACAGTATAACCATTTGTTTCTCCTGATAATGAGCTTAGGTCAGAATAAGAAAAAAAAAAAAAAAAAAGAAAGAAACCTGCTCAGAGCTCTTGGTTATCTAAAAAGGAAATTAAAATGGCTACGTTTCTGTACTGATATTAAAATGAGACTGAAAAAAATGCCAGAACAAATTTTGATTAGAAATGTCACTGTATTAGTGCAACTCCAGGGTTTAAAAAAAAAAAAAAAAAACACCACAGAAAACACAGGAAACAACATTCTATACAATTTGGGATTGCCTATCTGTAATAATGCTGCTGTGCCAGTTTGTGACATTAACATATGAAAATAACATTTCTGAAACATATACATCATCCTGATGCCTTGTAAAAGAGTACTAATATCTCCACAATATACACAGCAGTCTGAAACACATTCAAAAGAACCACTGGTTTGGAGGGAGAAATATGTATTAATACCTTTTTTTTTTTTTTTTTGCTCTCCCCCCAGTTGATGGCTTAAAAAAATACAATAAATTCAAATTCACAGGAAGTCTTGATTCCCTGGTCTTAGCACTTACATTTTTACCTAGTGACCAGCTAATGGAAATCAAACTTTCTAGCAGAACACATTAGAATCCAAGATTCCTCATCTATACAAAGACATCTTCCCTATTCCATGTTCCTCCTTTGCTCCCACGTAACGTGTGACATGGGACAGTACAGAATGAATTTCCTTAACCTAACTATTAAGAGATAGTCTTGGGAGATACAGGGTTGATATGCAACTGGAAAATAAAAAAAGAATTGAAATAACATTCTTACTTGTTGTTGGATTTTTGGTTGCAATCAGTAAATCCAATTTACATAGGGAGACTAAATCTATTTATTTTCTTCAAAGAAGTAAGCAATTCACCTACATCACCAGTGATGACTTAGGAAAACTTAAGGAAGATATTTTCAAATCCTCATTCATGCAGTTCTTAGTGGATTAAGCCACAAAATTTCTAATATTCCCCCCCTCTTTGTAGACTTGCCTACTGGCTAGACTGGTCTATTTCCCACTCAACTTCTTCACCATGTGTACTCTGTTAGGAAGCACCTAGTTCCACCCACTCACAGTACACAGAGCCTAAGCACTGAATTCAGAGTTCTGAGCTGCTTTCTGGGATGAGCAGACAAGAAGTTAAGCGTGGTATCACAGCTCATTACTTCAGGACTCCTTGCTAAGCCAGCTCCAGGTTTTCATAGATCAGACACCCTATTCAGCTGCAGTTTCTTCTCAATTTATAATAACAAACACACTATTTAAGCAATCCTAGTACTTGATTCATGTTTTTTTTCCTCGGAATCAACCATGTAGCGTGGTAGATGAGGTGCTGCTACACCAAGGCAGCACGTCATCATAAAATTGGGCAAATTGATCAACTGTAACTTGTGTAAATTCAGGAAAAAAAGACAAGAGAATTGTCACATTTGAAGCTCCCTAGCATTCGTACAAAGATGGGATTGAAACAAAACACTTCCAGCTCAAAGCTACTAAGTCCTTCAACAGTAATGTAGCAAATATCTACACATTTTTAAGACCAATATCTCTATATGATCAGGGAAGAAATAATTGTCTGTTTTGCTATTCAACTGTCTGAAAAGTTTTCTTGGACTCTGAGAAAAGTCTTCAAGCAGCCAGAAAACATGCTACAGAGCAATCTGAATTTCTGTAACACCACAGTAGTTGTAAATCACCTAAACTATGTTAATAAAATTAAATAAATGCAATTATATGCGATTAAAATGTCATTACATTACGAATGTTGATTGTTAATATTCTATCGTAAATCATTATTACTTTCTAAATATTAATTGAATCCAAGCAATTATTTAGCATTCCAGTTTCCCTGTTACATTCAGTTAAAAATGCCTTGTTTTTAAGACAGCAATATGAGAATATTTATTCAAAAAAATGAAGTGTAATGTTACACTACACTTCATTCATGTTACACATAACTGCACTTCCTGAAGCAAAATTTAACATATTATATTAAAAAACATCCTGCATAATCTACTACTGTAGCTAAAAACAAATACAGTGATGCTATCTTCTGTCTTTATCAGAATTAAACCTTCCAGTTTTTCTTTCATTTCCTGTATACACTCGATGTATATACATATCCAAGATACATAACCATCTATTCTGTCTTTAATTAAGCAAAATAGCATGGCTACATTGGTTATGACCAATATACACTTAAATTGCATTTAAAAATAAAAAAATCAGAAGCCAACATGCAGTTTTAAGCTGTATTGCTGCAGAACTTCAAGTTTTCAGTCTGACACGCAAGAACTATTAAAACCTTAAGCATTCTGCATCCATCAACATATACTCTGTTTCTAGAAGAAGCTTCTATCTCCAGCTTTGTTCCACCATGAAAATCCTGGCTTAAGGATATGTTCAAGACATAAATTAAAATTTAAGTCCTCACCCAGGGAAACTGTGTTAGAAAGAGGAAAAAGGACAGTTTGTCTTTATTGGCTGCAAAGAATGTCAAAACTCACAAATACCTGTACTTGTTCTATGAATTGCACAGCTGGCACTGTATGACAAGCAAGGATATTCTGGTACAATGAGTCACACATTTTTAATTTAGCCTGTTTTCACAGAAAGTGAATTTTACTTTCATACATCAAAAAGCAGTGGAGATAAATGGTACTATAGACAAGAACACAAAGATCTCTGAAATATAAGTTGTTTCTCTTTTTTCCAAGGAACCCTTATCATTCTCAAGATAGAAAAGGAAGGTTGTAATAGCCTCTGAGAACAATGGCTACAAGATGACAAGCCCCTAGTTTCAAAGAACAGAAAATAAGGCCTATATTTGTCAAAAAAATATATATATATCGGGTTAGCTAGCAAAACATTTCCTGTGAGTCCATACTGCATGGATCAGCACAAAATTCTATAAACTGTCAGTCATACACTGACTTCCACACTTGACTTGTATCCCTCTGATGTCCACAACAGAAGGAAGAAAAAAAAGACACCGAATAAAATTTTATTTGCCCACAACAGTGATAAGGTGAAACAGCCCGTGAAGTTAAACCAAAACAGATGCTTTTTTGCACTGCAAACCATTTAAAGTTATTAATAATTTAACAACCTCAACATTTTCATAAAGCTAAAAGAAATTCAAAGCTATGTATGAATGTAAAAATAACTAAGACCTCTCACTAGACCTCTCTTTTCCCCTTATACTGTTCCATTTCAAGGCCTATAGATTTCATTAAGTCCTTTCTTCTCCAATTATTTTCTGTCCTTGACACCTTTTTGCAAGCAAAAAGTAATTTGTAAAGCAAGCATATGAGTTGCAAAACTATATACATACATAGACACGAAAACAACCATAATCGTGATTTTGCAAAGTTATCTGACATATTTTCTTGTTTCAGATGAGGCAATCAATGGAGTAATCAGTATGAATAACATAAACCTATTAACTTGCATACCTCTTGGTGGTGAAAGTGCACAGAGAATACGAAGAAATGAAATTTTATCTACACCTAACTATTGGAGAAAGCTCCAAATCCACAGACATCACCAAAGTCAGATTTAGCCACTGCCTGCACATTCTCATCTGGGCTTTCAGGTGGAACTGGGTCTCTTCTCACAATTCGGAGAAAACACACTACTTACCATGCTTCATAATAAAATATTTATTTGTCAGTTCTCCGTAAGACCACCGCGGCTGTCTTGAAGAACTACATGTATAACTAGTAAAGTTAAAACCATGTGTTACTACCATACATGCCAGGGTATTTGGTTTCACTAAGGAAGCACTTGTCAACTCAGCTTAGATTTTAAAAGAACATTCAAGATCTTTGCTATCTGTATCCTAACCTACAACTCCTCCTCCACGTTTTGAAGTAAAATATCATGTTAACAAATGGCACATTTTGCTGATGCAGCATTAGCATGAACTATTGTGCCATTCCTCCAGTAAACCCCCCAACACCCACACCACAATAAATAAATTTTTAACTGATTAAATCTAAAGTTTTCACTCAACTTTTTTTTTGGTGCTACATTTTGTAATAATATGAGCCAATTTGGTTCAGAAAAGGAAGTTAGTATCTACCACTGTTTCTTCAGAAGTATTAAACAAGTATCTGTAAACTAGAAAAGCAGTTACTGTATTTTCAACTCACACTTTCTTCAAAATAGTTTAAGACAGCAAAGTTTTCTTAGTTCCTAATGAGTTTATATACTTTAAGATGTAGCAGAAGGTCCCAACTACTTGGAATTTTACAATGTGCAGTAAGGTTTTCTGTAAATAGTACTTTTATAGTTCTGAAGAACCGAAAACAATTTTTTATGCAATCATACTGATTTAGTAAAAGTTGTCTTTTCATCTTAGAACATACCGGAATTACCCATCTTTTCACCCATTTTTAACACAGCTATAATTCTTCTGGCTGGGAAGACTTAGTATGCCCAAATCTATCAAAATAGCAATTTCCAACAAAAATATATATATAATTAAGCAACGCAAAACACAGACGCGCATTACTCCAATATGTGTTGTTTACCTACTCTGTCTAAACACAAGAGACCCACTGTACAAGAAAAGCAGATAAAGATGCAGAAGTGGCCTAACAACCAGCAGCTGACCAATTTAGCACCTTCTGTACTGTGATCAGAATGGCAATATTTTCTAATTTACAGTTTAAATACGTAGTGTTTTTTTTTAACGATATGAAAGCAACAAATAACATCATAAGGAAATACCAGCTACAAAATTTTCCATCTAGTTTGGATGATTAGAAACTGACAGAATCCAGTTGAGCAGAGTGCATCTTCTGTGTATCTTTCTAATGAATTTATGTTCTTTGTACAGGTATTTTGAGCAGAGAAAAAAAAAAATCTTACTATTTGTAGGAAGACATTTCTCTCACATGCTTTAATATATACATGTACCACTACCTACACGTGCAGTATCTGACTGATGGAGAGACAACAAAGCAAAAGGCTGTTCAATTAAAAATCTATTATGATGTGGAAAGGATAGCAGAAGCTTCCAATACAGAAAGTAACTTCAATGCTGAATCTCCTCTGCTACTAGACCCATTAACAGTAGAGAAAGCAACCCTGATGCAAAAAAAAAAAAAAAAAAAAAAATTAAATGCATGTTTAATAGAAAAACCTGTAAGTATTCCCAAAGGACAAGTCACGTGTCTACGTAAATTGAACCACAGAAACTGATTTCAAAGAGGCCTTACAAGAGTTCTCTCAAATAGTCTTGGAGTTGCCAACTCTAATTAAGCTTCTCAAATTGAATCATTACAATATTTTTCTGATGAACTGAAATAAGCCCTATATACTTACTAGCCTTTTCCTTCAAAATATAATACATTACTGCAATGTTCTTTATATCACAGACCTCACGTATTTCATTGCTTTTTCAGCTGAGAATGTTATTTTGGCTTTTGAGTAAAGCTCATCACTGCAAAGCAACTGTACCCCAACTGTTTGGTTTACTCAGCTGAACAAACAGACAAATGATACTTAATAAAAAGTTGAACTTGCCATGACTTTGGCTCCCCGAAATGTAGATAATTAATACTGTAGAGATCCATGTCTTCGGTGTGCCATGCAAATGTTGTTTTCCACATGCCAAAATACAGATATGGCGTATTCACACCCTCAATAGAAATTCCACATTCTTCTCCTACAACATCCAATATTGTATTAAGGTGGGCAATATTCCATTCCTCAATACCCTGAAAAAGATAAATAACAAATGTATTAATAAATAAAATAATGCAATTTTATATAATAGTTTTACTCAAAAGACACATGCCTGATCTAGTCCTTCAAAAGATTGTAGATTAACACAAATTTGTAGGCACTTCAACAGACAGATGAAATTTTCACACAAAAAAATTCTTGACTTTAGTAGAATTTAGATCAGGTATTAAATCGGATGTTTGAAGCAGACAACAGGGAGTTACTTATCAGCTTAATACTAAATACGTCAAATGAAATGGATCAAAATACCACACAGAACAGAAATAATAGCCATAAACAAGGATCTCTGGTAAGTAGATAGCTAGATGTCACTAAGTTTCACTGCACATGTCTATGCTCCTTGCTTCTTACAAAAATAATACTAAATATTATTTAAAATGTTTTTATAATGTCATCTTCCTGTGCAAGTTTACCATTTCTCTGAACAACGTAAAAACTAAAACTATGACTTCAGAGCAATTTCTAAACATAATGATATAATGCACAATAGAGCACCACAGAATAAATCTACCGATTTCATGGGATTTCAGCAATTGTCCTTCCATTTTTTGCCCATAAAATTTGCATATTAAAAGCCATTAATGTAGTTTTTGTGTACTCCAGATTCACAAAGAGCAATTCTTATTTCAGGTAATGCAGTACGTAGAAGTCAGTGCAACCAAGATCAAAACCACAAAACCGAAGAGAAAGAGTTTAGACTTCCCTATAACAGCAGTTGCTAGCACCTCCAATGAAGACATTAAAAAGTAGCTCAAGTAGCCAGGAAAAAGTGAAATACAATGAAAACTATTATGAACTCAATTCAGGCAAGTTTGTTTATTGGTCAGAAAGACAGCACCAAAACATGCTCTTAAGTATCACCAGCTCTCCAACTCTATTCACCGATACCCTGCACAGTTCTGACAATCTTACTCAAATTTGGAAAATAATTCGACGGTAGACTGCAGTTCTGATGCAGATGAATAAGACTAAGAAACATGTTGACATTCAACAGTTGTGCAGGTGATGAAGAAAGCAAGTTAGAGCGAGAAAGAATCAACATTCAATATTCTCAGTTTTCGCTTTCTCGCTTTTTGAGCAAGAAATAATGAAGCATGTTATGTGTTCAGCAACCCGAGTTTATATAAAAGATAGCAACTTCTGTACTAAGTTCAACCATCTCTTTAAGCAACCACTTTTGACTGCCTGCAATGACTATTTCACTTATGAAAAGCTACCCGTAAGGCGTCTGGGAATTTTACAAAGGAGCTGCATTTACTGAATGAGTTCATTCTAGAGAGCAAATTTATTTATGTATGTATTTTTAATGAATGCTTTAGCTTTGATGCACTCATGTGACATAAAAGCACTTGAAAAAATACATATAAATGTATTTATGATAAGCAGTATCAAAGAATAAAATTAAACACAAGTATGTATCCGAGTAGTAGATGCCAGTAAAATTTGCACCCTTCAAATCTAGAACTCGGTCATCAGCAAGGTATTAGAGCTGTGAAGTACAAAGCTAATGTGACGGAACAATTTTAACTAATTATTCTTCAAATTATTTTACATATTTGATTTTTAAAATAAAATTTATCTTTGTTCACCAATTGTGCAGTTAGTTTAGAGAAACAAAATAACATGGCAAAATAAGAACACTTACTTAGCTATGGAGGCACAGACATACAATGTTAGAACACAGTAATAAATACCAGATTTAAAAAAAAAAAAAAAAAAATCAACTGTTAATCTAGGCAGTATCCTCTTTTTGACAGGGGCCAAAAGCAGAAAAGAAACAGTGTAAGCAAAGAACATCCTTCCAGCCTCCAGCAATATGCAGACTGAAAGTTTCACCGGAGTTGTTATTCTTCTGCTTAACAGTACCCAGTAGGCTTTTTACCACTTACCCATTCATTTTTCCAGTCACCTTTTTTAATCCATGTAAGCTCTTAGCAGCCATAACATCCTGAAATCTTACTCTCCTCTTACTAAGAACTAAATGATAGTTAAAAGAATACATTAAGAATGAACTATCATTTTTTCCCCCCAAAACATCTCTTTTTTTTTTCATTCCTGTTATTAGTAACAACTAATCACCAAACTACTAGTGGTTTGTCCATGAAACAAAAGCAAATCCTCCCATGGATAAGAAGGTTGCTTCAAAATACCAAGCATATACAATCCACAATCTCTATAACCAAGACACAATCTATTTCCATTTCCTAAAAACCACTCTGGACAAGCTATAGAAGCTTCAGCATATGAGGAAAGTTCACTCAAACTGGCTTATACTCTAAAATCAGAATGATTCATTTTAATTCTTTCTACATACCTGGACCTTCAAAAAAAAAAAAAAAAAGTTTTATCTTTATGCATAGATCACTGCAAATTACTACAAACTACTATTAAAGATGTTACTTTACCTCGCAGGTGTACCTCTTTCTGGTACTCCAAAGAACTAAGTAAAATGTTTATGTGAATTTTAAAGTGAAATATTAACTCAAACTTTTGCAATAGTTACATAACTGTTTGCAGATTTTACTATTTCAATGCTGACTAAAAACATCATACGACCTGTAAAAAAGTAGTTTAACAAGTCAACACATAACAATACTTCTCAAAATTAAAGTCTACCTTAGCAACATATTCCTAATAACCATTACTAGATCATCAGTACACATAATCCTTAATCTAAAAGCATACCTAGGAGTTTCTTCAAAATACAAAAAAAAAATCTATTCAATGTTTCAAATATTTATTCTGCTATTAGTGTACATCTGGATATCATTTTACAACGAATTCAAGGAGAATGTAGAGAACATTTCTAATACCCACATGGTAAAGTTTTAAAGAACATCTGTGATAACAGTAACCACAGAACCCCACATCAGAAAAAAAAAAGCTAAAATCAATAAAATTTTTCTCTATTTACTACAACAAAGAAGGTTGAAACATCCTTGCTGGAGCACATTATACTTATATTGCAATTCTTTAGAGAAATATAGCAGGTAACAGCTTATATAAGAGACCACTAATCCAAACTTTGGAAACTGTTTAGGTGACACAAACTTATTGTAAATTACTGTCAAGAGTTTTTATGGCTTTTAACAGCATCTGAAATAGCTTGTAATGGAATATGGAAATAAAAGGGGACACCTCACAAGCAGTTCTCACAAATATCCAAACAGTTTGTAAGGAGATGACCCCTCCTTTTCTCAAAGACAAAAAAATACATCTTTCAGTACCCTGGTAAAAAGTGAAATTCACTGTTGTTTAAATAAACAGTGACAACCTTTTGGCAGATAAAAATAGGCCTCCAAGCAAAATTATATTATATTCATTTCCCCTTTTCAAAGTAATTATGATACTGACTTGATACCATTCTACACACTTTCCTTAAACAAATCAGCAGTCTTAGGAATTCTATTTCTATGAACATGGTTTCTGTGTATGTATATGCTAATAAACACAATCCTTTTTCACTGTTTAATTTTTCCTTTGATTATCTCATGGATTAATTACAATATTAACCTGGCAAACAATACATCTCTTGTACAACTAGTACTAAAAGCCCCTACAAGTGACAATAAAATCTCAAATACGTTAGTTACGTTAGAGATGCACCTACAACTTCATTTACCCAAAAAAAAAAAAAAATCAACTTTTAATCTGCAAAATCAGCTGAACCAGTCACTGTATAGTACTAAACAGGTGTGCTCCCCACAGCTTAGGTATGGGAGAAGGCAAGCATGAAAGTAATATCTCATCAGGAAGAATAAAACTAAGGAAAGGAAAAGGGAAGGGAAGAAGTTCTATCTTGCATACAGGAGCTGAAAGAACAGTAAGAAAGAGGCATGCCAATGTTTATACATGCTTTTTCCAAACCTTGGCTTTCTCTACTGAACAGCAGATTTCTTTCACAGCACAGTACTCAGATGTGTTTTATGATCTGTTAAAAACATCAGATCTGTCAATTTTCTTTGGAACCTGTCTTGAAATCAGGTTTTTTTTCCCTCATTGCTAGATCAGTCTTTGTAGGGGTTTTATATAACTTCCCCTACCCATCCGTGCAAAATTTCTAATAAAATACTTTCTAGAGAAAAGACCCAAAGGAAACAAAAAGTTAATTTCAGCTCCTAATATCTCATACAACAAGGAAAGAACTAAATCCACAGCTTCAGTGATTAGCGGTATGATTTAAACAACTGAGAGTGGCACGGAAGCAAATGTCCTGAGGTCAAAGACCGTACAGAAAGAGTACAGGAATCACTCTCCAGATTTATTCACAGTTAAAATTGCAAGACGAGTTAATAAATTCACAATATGAAATACAAAATAACTCTTCTCTTTCTTCTCCATGACAGGGACAGTAGGTTTTTGCCACTGCTTCACAGCTTAGTCATTCACAGCCTAGGCAGGCTCAACTTGGTATTACATTCAGGCTAACTTTCAAGCAAGAGAGCTCTCTTGAAATAACATAATAAAAAAATATCACTTCTCAATTAAACTTCCAAACCAGCCACAACCGTTAGCAGTTCATAATCAATTCATGAATCAGTTTAATAACTGGAGCTAGTAAGACTGGTGCTTTATCATTGACTTTATAAACCCTGTCAGAAATGTTAATTTTCACTCAAGTACAGATGACCTTATAGCAACAGAAAGACAGAACTTTGAACATCTAACAATGTTTGTAAGCTTAACAGAAATAATGATCTTTACAACTTACTCATTAGTGCAAATATTTTTCTTGAGTTATTCACATTGCCTTTCTCCTACAGAACACTATAATTAAATGTAAAACCAATCAAAATGTCTATAGCATAGAATAATATTACAAGCAATCAACTATATTAAATTTATTTTCTATAGAGTGTACAGAACACTCATTCTTTCAGGTTGTTTCTTTATTCATAAATAATTAATGTGTTCAAAACTGGGAGATAACCATAAATACATTATAAATAAACTAGAGACTAGAAAAATCCATGTATCTCAAGTGTGAATTTTGAATCATTGAAGATAGTTGTCAATTTTCAAAACAGGTATTTATAACTTTATTGCTGTTATTTTTTCCTTCATTATAACAAGTTTTATAATTTCACCCCTTCCAAACTGTTCAGGATCTGTCATCCTCTGATCTAAGAAAATCAAACAAAACAAAATCTATAAACTGCAGCATAATGCTTGTAAGATGCTGGATTCCACAAATCAGAATATTATTTCTTAAATTACCTAAATGGAAAAAATAAGGCCTCATTGTGCTTCAGTTACAGATCTGTCAATATAAAATTGAACAACACCACGTGAAAAAAAAAAATGTGTAAGTGGTAAACTTTTAAACTGAAGAATAAGATTTGGCAGCACAGCAGCATTTCTCCCTAGTTTTGCAGGCCCAATTATACATCCCACTTTCACTAACCTCCTGGTATTTTCTATCCAGAGTTCTGATATATATTTATCATTCTGTATTAAATGCAATTTCTATAGCACACTGTTTTCTATAAAACACATTCTATAAATAGTAAGCACTTCTTTTTGTTTAGCACGAATAGGCTATTATGCCAAATTAACCCTGCCATCCTCTTTCTGCTGTACATTGCCCCAAATGTTAGCTAACTACATTCATCCCTTCTCCCCAAAAAATGACAATCCTGAAAGAAAATGATTGAACATGTAAAAACAATTTCTAATTCAAAACTGGAAGAAAAAAAATATATCTTTCTTAGCACTATCATCAAGACATGAAAAAAATATTAGTTGCCCAAGTGCACCATCTGGTGGCCAAAAAATAACTTTGACAAATGAGAAATATTTCCATCTGGAATCTGCAATTCTCTCATCAACAGACTGATACCAGGGGTTATTCCTCCTTTTCCTCCAGACCCTTACCAGGCTGCACACACCCTGACACAGCTTTCACATTAATTGTTCTGCCTTTTCACCCTTTCTTTGATGTTTCACTAACATTTCTCCTTTATTTTTAAATAATTCCTATTTACTCAAAACCAAAATGCTGTTCTGCTTTGGTTTTGTTTTCTTTAATTCTACCTAGTGCTATTTTATCCCCCGCTTCCTGTAACCTTCTATGCTTTCTTTGTCTCTTCTTCCTATGCATCTAACATTTGAGTTAGGATTGCTGAATGCTGCACTTCTCACTTCACCTGTCAGGGTTTTCACCTCCCTACCTCAGCCTCCTAATCGAATGACAGTGCAGTTACATGAGAAAGAAAACTCAGACTCTCTCCTTGACCAGTTAACACTTCAAAATCAAATACTACTGTATTCTATTTTCTTTGGCCGTGTTGCTCATTCAACAGTAACCTTAAGATATTAAGTACCAAAAAACACAATCAAAACAAAAAGTGTACAACTGTAAAACACTATCACAAAATGCATTATCTGTCAACATCAAAAAGAAGGGAAGGAAGAAGGAAGGAAAGGAAAAAAACAGGCAAGCTTGCATTTATTGAAATAAACACTCTTTTCCTGTACCCCAATTTGGTCTCTACAAAAAAACTGTCATCTGCACTGAAGTGGCTCTTCACTGAAACACCCCAAAGCAGAATCTTGAGTTAATTTTCTTAATCATTTTTATACAGCTACTTTGACACACAATAAAATTTTGACTTGCTGCTGTCACTAAACAAAAGATCACTTGACATTTACTTATATATGTCTTTAAAAAGTAAAAAAAAATAAAAATAAAAAAATAAAAAAATTGCCTTAAACTAGCTTGACTGACTGCATTTATCTTTGGACAAAAGAGTCTTTCAGTCATTTGTCTTCTGTGAAGAAATATGAAATATTAGTAGGGCCTCAGACCATCTGCCACAGGGAAATTCTACCTTTTTTTAAATGATTGGAAAGGGGAGTTACAGAGGACATGACAGAACTGAAGAACTCTACAGAAGACAGGCTCCCCTAGATAAAAGTTAATCCTGTGTTTTGTAAACTTCAAACATTGTTTGAAACACTAATGTTTCCTCTATTCATCTCATTACTTAAATAATCCTATTTATCTAGTTCCTATTGCTGCTTATATAGCCAGTTTGATACCAATGGATCTTCTGTAATTCTGGTAGTAAGATGCATGTTATGTCCCTTTTTATCCATGGAGATCTTCACAAGTATCCAGTAAAACTCATTTCCTTATGAAGCTCCCTTCTTGTCTATCTTAATTAAGAAGTATACAGTAATCATAAGCTCATTTCACAGAAACCAGAGACATTCCAAACATGTAGAAAGTACAGCTATCATTTTTCCTCAATTAAATAAATCTAGTATTTTGTCTTTTAATTTTAAAGTTACTTAAAATATTACTAAATTTCCACACAGGTACACTGTATGGAATGCATACTGAAATGTTAATAAATATATTAACAGGAAAGCATCTCAAAGCCCTGGAGAGTTTCAAGTGACAAAAGGGCAGTCTTATGACCAGGAAGAATATCAAAATCCTACTGTCTAAGGATAGAAGTGTCTTTGCAGATGTACAGTTAATTTCAACCTTGCTTGGAGTCTTTAAAGTAAATAACATAAAGATTCCAACAAGACAGATTCTCAGCCACAAAACAGGAATGTATCCTCTAAGTATACTACCCGTTAAGAGGGGGCTAGAAGAGAAACTTCATAAAAAGCTATGCATACTTCATCATAAATGCTTCCATTGATATCTGCTCCATAAATTGGTGCCACAAAAGTCAAGTTCTTCCAGTATTTACGCTCCAGGTCTTCATAAGCTATGTGTCTTGGGGTGCAGTATCTGCAGAAGAAGAGGTAAGGCAAATGTTCAGCATAGTCTTTCAACAACCTCCTTCACGATGGACTATGCTTTTTTGATCCTACAAGCTGAATTCTAAGAGATCATTATTTCAAATCCCCTTAAAGAGCGCGACTACTACTCTAATTCCTCGTTTCATAGTTTACCACGGAATGTAACTTCCTTACATGGCAGCTGCAGTCATTGAAGTTACACACCTACCCACACAGTTATTTTCTTCAATCTCCAGCAGCTAAACAGAACATGTCCTGATTGCCCTCAGGCTGAGACCCTTCTTTTGGTTTATCTTCTGCAAAAAACACATATGGAAGAGCCACTTCTCTGACAATTGACAAGTATTTGCTATTTTTCTGCCTCAATACTAGCTCTCCAAAGTCAGAGGCAGGGCCTGCACAAGTCCCCCTGAAATAATTCTGATGTACTAATTCATCCAAACAGCAGCTGTGCCAGACAAAAACAGTACTTTGCTCTCTTCCTCCTCCCCTGGGAAAAGCTTTTAAGAGAAGGAATATTTCAAACAGTGCTACCAAAACTTCTCTCATGCAATGAAAACAAGATATTTAAGAAAGCAAATATAACTAGTTAACAGAACACATCTTGAAGTATTCTCAGCAACAGAGTTGCTGTTGCAATCATTTCTCATGATATAGCTCCAGAAATCAGCCAGTATTTCTGACTGGATCTGAATGAAATGGATACATGAACTAAGCTTAACAAGTATCTCAATTACAGAATGCAGGTATGCCCATATTTCCCAGAAAACACAGTGGAGAAGCAGCTTGGTTAAGTGGTGAATTGAGAATGCCTAAACAAATAAAAGATGCAATGCATTAGACTGGGCACACACAATTGTTTTAAATAAAATGTTTATTTTCATACAGATGCTCATAGCTCTTCCCTCTTTCCTAAAAGAAAGGGATAGCATCACAATTCTCAGGAAAAGCAGCTGTCCATAACAGAGAAGCTTTCTTTATTAAGGAACAGAAGTCTTTTTATAGGAGAATAGGGTCTCCCGGCTGCTTAACAGTTTAAGAAAAATAGCCTGTATTAGGAGATAAGAGGTTATATGACATTTTCTCAAGAGCAGTTAAAAATATTCAAAAAAAGACACACAGCTAGTAATACAGGTCCTTCCAAATGTTCTTAATTTTAATTATGAAGTAGTCATAAACTGCTTTCAGTAAAACAAATACGAAAACTGAAATCAGATATGCTTCCAAAATATATTCCATGATAAGAACCAAAATAAACATAACTAACATCATGATACATAAGAAGTCTTCACAGGTATTATGCATTCCCAAACCTATTTCAAGAAATTTGTGTTTCTCATTTTATCATAGGCTAATCAAATGCATATATATATGAATATATAACATAGGAATAATTTTCTTCACATACTACAGCGGTTTTGTACTTCATTCTTTCCTCTAACAGTTAATGAATAAATAATTCGTAGAACTACAAAACACATTTGCATTCCTACTTATCAGTAAAACAACTCCAAATGTGATAGCATCAGTTTTTCACAAGAAATATGTGGAAAAAACATACTGATCCTTTCTTTAATTCAAAACGGAGATCAGTTTTGCACTTTTACAAAGGCATGGATATTATGGAACATCTGCTGAGAAGCCTCTTTAACAGCTCTTCATCCACCCATTTTTCCTGATCTTGGTTTCTCTCCATATCTTTTAATTTCTTAAATTAACTTGTAAGAGAAACTTTCCTTCAAACCAGTCCAGTGTTACATTGCTTTCTCTAATTCATTATGTTCAAATACATTTTCTCTCTAAGACTCTGAGTCACCATACAGAAACCACTTCCCATCAGGTTACAGGAAGTAATGAGGAAGAATTTGTTCTTTTACCTTCCCTCTTGGAATGCCCAACACTTTGAAGCTTTTTAGTATACTGCTGAGCCCATCACGGCACCCTTTTTTCCTTCCTTAATAGCCATTTTGCCATAAGCACAACATGGAGGTTCACTATGAGCAGCTGCATTCTCTTGCATTAGTAAAAAAAAAAAAAAAAAAAAAAAAAAAAAAAAAAAATCTGACGTGAGTTTAAAAATACCTTGGGGTGTTTGTTTTTTTTCAGAGTTAAATGCTACGTCATTCCAGTATCTAGGCCAAATAAGTAAATACTACATATTAATAAAGGTATTAAAAATAAAACTGTGTCTGTATGACCTTCATTATTTCCAATATATGTGTTTGTTGGAACAGACAGAAAAACAGGTAGAGAACAAGAAGAAAACATCATGTCTCAGGTTTTTCAGCCTTCTTGCTACCACAGTGCAAGCCACTTTCAACAACAGAAATATGGAAACTTCATATTGTGGTATTCTTCCACAACTTAAAAGACAGGAAAATATCAAGTGAGTAAATAAATAAAAAACACTAACAGCACATCACTCCTCGAAGAAATCACATTATAGGAACAGATAAACTTTTTTCACTTTAAGTAAGGGCTGCCATATACATACTTGTCACTGTTGGCCAGCTGCTTGAACTCCTTCACTGTCATTGGCTTTTTCTGAATGTTATACTGTGTGAAGAGCCCTGACTGGCCAGTGACCATCTGCTGAATTGGAGCAGGAATTACCAAATCTTCAATATCATCATAATGTTTTCTTGGCTTCCACTCTTTTGGTGGGATGACCTAAAAATTCAAAAAAAAAAAACATGAATGTCAACAGTTGCCATACCAATTCAAAACATTCTGGAAAATCCAAAGCAATGGTCAAATATGCCTACATGATGAACTTACTGCTTACCGACGCTTCACATAACTAAGTTACCATGTAAATGCTCCTAGATGATACAAAAAGCAATTCAAAATAGCCATAGCATGACCTTCCTTTCCTCAGTTCACAAGCACCAACTCACTAATCCACAGCAACTTAATCGTGAAGCTGTGCAGACATACACATACATAACTTTAACAGACAGAAAGCCTTATAATACACAAGGATTGCATGCTCTGATACAAAATTGTTATCCTCAGTATAAAAAAATAGATTCATACACACTTAACAGTCCTTTGCCCAAAAGTTGTTTGGTGTATACAGTATGAATAATTTCATTTTTTTACTGAAAAATTTTTAAAATTCCAGCTATTTCAGATAACTGTTGTCTGTGTAACTCACATAAAACTGCAGGGTACAACTCTATTACAGTAGGAGTTTGGACTCATTAAGATATACTGGTTTTATATTAACATAATTTAAAGCTCATAATTAAATATTAAAGCTATGTGCAGATTAACCAATTGTAAAGTTAACACTTATTTTAGATATCAGAGAGCTGTCCAAAGTCTACAAAAACTCCTCAGTAGCTATTAGTGTTACAATTAGAGCCATTAGAAATTTCAAAGGAGCCTGTAGTCACAGAAGTGCTCTTTAACAGCCTGTGTAATTTTTAATGTTCTGTTTAAGTATAATCTGAAAACAAAACAAAACAAAAAAATCTCTAAATTTGAAATAACAAGTTTTAAAACAAATCGGGAGGGGCTTTTTTTTTGTTTACTTTTTTTTTTTTGTTTGTGACTTTTTTAATTTTACTTGCCAAAAAGGCTGAATGATGTATACTTTGCTCCCCTTGTCATTAGAGACTGTAATGGCATCACAAAAAGTAAAAACACTAAAAAAAAAAATAAAAATAATAAAAAAATCACCTAGATTCTGAGATCATTTGCTACCTTTTGAAAACAAACAGAAGTGTGCAGATTATAAGACACATGTACTCAACAGTCTATCCCTCAAAAAAATCTTGTCAACACCAATATGCACTAGTAGCAAGTACATACTAAAGTAGATACACCAAGCTAAAGAAGAATTATCAGGTAGTAATGTACTTCCATACCTAACATTTTTACTTTAAATAAACTTTTTCTTTATCCAGTTTTCACATGGATGGAAATCCTTGTTTTCCTTCTCAACTACCATGTGACTTTACCTGTACAGAGACTCAAGAGCTTGTTTCAGTTTTTTTGGCTTTTAGAGAAAAAGTAAGGGTGTCATCTTGTGATTTCTACTTATTTCTTTCACACAAATCTTAAGTTATACTCCCATCAGCAAAATACAGAATGTTAGTTTGGAAGCAAAGTACTCATGCATTCAGAATATATGCATATAAATCAAATATGTGCACAGAGATTTCCATTTTCATGATTATTAAGCATGAACTTGTACGTTTGGCTCAACTAGATGAATACTGAAAAGCAAAATTTGAATCATCTTATTTAATTCAAGGTCAGTGTGTTTTAAGAAATAAAAATATTTTTGTGAATACTGGTTCAAAATATCCACTTTCAGCTGGAATACATTTATTACTGTTGTAGTTAGAGTAGTCATTAGAAAAGTGAATTGTGTGAGCACTGATATGCTAAACAACATTTTAAATGAAAATAGAGTTGCCAACACAAAGAGTTTACATTTTCTAACAAAGGTCAGGGTCAGAAGTAGAAATATTAAAAGCATTGTGTCCAAAATGACACACAGTCACAGTCAGTATCAAGGTTGAAAATAATGACTAAGTCTCTGTATTTTTTTTTTTCACCACTGATCCATCCTAACAAAGCCTCTCCACACTCCTTTTAAAAAGAATACCCTCTTTGAAGTCAGGCAAGTTAGGTTTATGACATGGAGGCAACCTATATCAAAATCATCAACCAATTAGTTCAATACTCAAATATAAAAAGGAAAAACTAAGGCAAGGCTTTCTCAATTTATACACATACATACAGCAAACAGCCTAGGCATAATAACACTACCTTGCGTTACTCGATGTGTTAAGTATTCATATTTATATAAGGGATGTCATAGTTACAAAGTACCACTCAGTCTCCTCCATGAAAGCTGCACATTTGTAGAAATTAGATTATTTCGGAGTGCTACTAATGCATAAAATTTATGTTAAATCCTCTTTCATATATTGGTAATCTGACCTACATTCGATTATGAACAGCACTGGCTACTATGTCCCAGTAGCTAGTTTCATCCAAAATTTTCTTTAAAAGTTTGTTTTGCTCCTGCTAGCCAACACATTTTCAGTGCCATGTTCCAAAATCACATTTCTACTTGCCAATTTGATTGCAAATTCATTTAACTGTTTCACTCTACGTGAATTCAGTTTCAAGCTCCAAAACACTTCTTTCTCCAGAAACAGCAACTAACCTATCAGTGTGCCTTGTTTTTCATTTCTATTGCTTTCATTCCTGACTTTCCTTTTTAAGTTCAAAATCCTCTGTAAAAGTAAGACTAAAATATATTATCTATGCCTAGAATTCATTCCAGACTTCCAAAGACCTAATGAAGATTTTTAGCTGATTTGCTCTAGGGATGTCATGGTGTATCATCTACTCTGGGAATGGCTTTGATATTGTTCCTGCAGTGCCTCAATTGTTTATTTCATGCATAGTAATAGGAACTTTACAGAAGCACAGAATGGCTTGGGTTGGAAGGGACCCTTAAGGATCACCAGTTCCAACCCCCCTGCCATGGGCAGGGATACCTCCCACCAGACCAGGTTGCCCAAAGCCCCATCCAGCCTGGCCTTGAACACCTCCAGGGATGGGGCATCCACACCTTCTCTGGGCAGCCTGTGCCAGTGCCTCACCACCCTATGAGAGAAGAATTTCTTCCAAACATCTTATGTAAATCTACACTCTTTTAGTTTAAAATCATTATCCCTTGCCCTATCAGCACACCCCCTGATAAAGAGTCCCTCCCCAGCTTTCCCCCTTTAAGTACAGAAAAGCCTCCACAAGATCTCCTCAGAGCTTTTTCTTCTCCAGGCTGAACTGGAGAAGCTCACTCAGCCAGAATTCATAGGTCTCTGATAATCTTTGTGGCCCTCCTCTGGACCAGCCCCAACATGTCTACATCACTCTTATGCTGTAGGCCCCAGAGCTAACACAGGGCTTCAGGTGAGGTCTAATAAGAGCCAAGTAGAGGGGGAGAATCACCTCCCTCACCCTGCTGCCTATGCTTCTTTTGAAGTATACAATTGGCTTTCTGAGCTGCAAGTGCACGTTGCTGGCTCATGGTGAGCTTTTAATCCATCAGTACCCCCAAGTCCTTCTCCACACAACTGCTCTCAATCACGCAGCCTGTACCTGTGCTTGGAACTGCATCAACCTAGGTGCAGGACCTTGCACTTGGCCTTGTTGAACCTCCTGAGGTTCGACCGCACAAGCCCACATCTCAAGCCCATCCAGGTCCCTCTGGACAGTGTCCCTTTCCTCCAAGTCAGCCACACCACACAGCTTGGCGTCCTTCGTAACTGTTTCACTAAAATCTTAAAGCCTTTATGTTTTTCCTTTTAAGTTTGTGGCTTATACTGTCCTAGTAGCATGACGATCTTTCTAACACAAAATTCTAACCTGACTTTACACAGTTGCAATCTTGTCTTCTCTCCATGCACACAACAGCAAAAATGCTTTATAGCCCAGCCACCCTACACCACATTCAAATACAACCCACAGACTTCTATTTTCCTTTTGCATACCTGACTTAGCTTTACTAAATATATAATTTTACTCGTTTATCCTTCAGTAGTGCAGTCATTCAGAAACTTGTCATTTGATTCTCTGCTAGTTTCCTCAGCCCCACATACATGGGTTTTGTGGTGTTTTTGTTTGTTTTTTTTTTTTTTTCAGAGCAGTGGATGTCATCTGCCTTGACTTTAGCAAGGCTTTTGATACTGTCCCCCATGACATCCTGATAGCAAAGCTGAGAAAGTGTGGGATAGAGGAGTGGATAGTGAAGCAGGTTAAGAACTGGCTGACTGGCCGAGGTCAGAGGGTGGCGATCAGCGGCGCAGAGTCCGACTGGAGACCTGTGACTAGTGGTGTTCCCCAGGGGTTGGTGCTGGGTCTGGTTTTGTTCAACATCTCCATCAATGACCTTGCTTAGGGAATAGTGTCTGCCCTCAGCAAGCATGCCAATGACACAAAGCTTGGAGGAGTGGCTGACACACCAGAAGGCTGTGCTGCCATTCAGCGAGACCTGGACAGGCCAGAGAGACAGAATCACAGAATCACAGAATTTCTAGGTTGGAAGAGACCTCAAGATCATCGAGTCCAACCTCTAACCTAACACTAACAGTCCCCACTAAACCATATCCCTAAGCTCTACATCTAAACGTCTTTTGAAGACTTCCAGGGATGGTGACTCCACCACTTCCCTGGGCAGCCCGTTCCAGTGCCTAACAACCCTTTCAGTAAAGAAATTCTTCCTAACATCTAACCTAAAACTCCCCTGGCGTAACTTTAGCCCATTCCCCCTCGTCCTGTCACCAGGCACATGGGAGAACAGGCCAACCCCCACCTCGCTACAGCCTCCTTTAATGTACTTATACAGAGCAATAAGGTCACCCCTGAGCCTCCTCTTCTCTAGGCTGAACAAGCCCAGCTCCTTCAGACGCTCCTCATAGGACTTGCTCTCCAGGCCCCTCACCAGCTTCGTCGCCCTTCTTTGGACCCGCTCAAGCACCTCGATGTCCTTCTTGTAGCGAGGGGCCCAAAACTGAACACAGTACTCGAGGTGCGGCCTCACCAGAGCCGAGTACAGGGGGACAATCACCTCCCTAGCCCTGCTGGTCACACTGTTTCTGATACAAGCCAGGATGCCGTTGGCCTTCTTGGCCACCTGAGCACAC